AGCCCAGAGTCAGGAATAAGCCCTGAGCATTGCAAGGTGTGGCCCCCCAAACAAACAAAAAACAGGTCTTTATGAAAAAATATATATATTTTCAGCAATTTACAACCTAAGGCTAGATTGATGACTGTCCTAAAGGACTTAACACATAAGTATGAGATAAATCAAGGAGATAGGATAGCTTAGATATGAGAAAATCAAACGACAGTTCTTGCTCTCTAGTTTATGAATGAGGTATTTACAGCAGGAGGTTTTTCTAGCTGGTTGTAATTTAGAAGGAAAGAACCAGAGAGAGAGAGAAAGAGAGAGTGAGCAAAAAGGCAGTCGGTAAGCTATTCTATAGCATTTCATACAATCTACGGAAGAAGCAAACATATTATGAGAGTGCCAACTCTTCTCATAAACGAAATAAAGGGCTCCAAGTGACTATGATTTATAGGCCCAGATACTTAAACTTTATCCTGATTTTACTGAAAAGAAAATGATACTGAACAACTGCAGAAAGGGCATCAGTGTTTCCCAGAGTGGGCAAACCCCTCCCACCACCCCATGCAGAGGGACAAGTAGTAGTCACAGGTACAAATTAGAGGGTATTTTCTGTTTGTTCACTTAAGATAGACTCCCAAGGGGTACTTAAGTTTTTGTTTTTTTTCTGAAAAGGGGGCAATAGACCAATAAATTCGGGAACCTCTTAAGTGTTCTCTTGCCCAAGATTTATATACATCAATTATGTGGCAGAACCTGTATTTGAATACAGGACTGTTGGAATCCAAAGTCACATTCTTTCATCCTATGCTATTAGTGTGTGAAAAAGTACATCAATCCATATTTTATGGATTATAAAAAATAAAGTTTCTTTCTTTTTATGAGGGGGGCACACCTTGATATGCTCAGGGATCACTTCTGGAGGTTCCTATGGAGAGCTAGGAATCAAACCTGGGGCAGATGCATGCAAGGCAAACACTACCTGCTGTAATATCACTCTGGTGAAATGTGCATTTTTCATACTTAACTCACAAACTTCAACATTATATTTACTGATCAAAGACACTCAAAACAGAAATGTCCTGGAAAATATTCCAGGGACCAAAGCCAGATATTCTTAGTGATGTGTATAAGAACACTAAAGTTGGGGCTAGAGCGACAGCACAGTGGGTAGGGCGTTTGCCTTACATGTGGCTGACCCAGGTTCGATTCCCAGCATCCTATATGGTCCCTCGAGCACTGCCAGGAGTAATTCCTGAGTGCATGAGCCAGAAGTAACCCCTGTGCATCTCCTGTTGTCACCCAAAAAAAACAAAAAACCCACTAAAGTTGGTAATTTGTTAAGAAGTGAGAAAAATGAGAAAGAACTTGAAAAAAAATGGGGGGGGAGTGGTTTTGGACCACATGTGGCTGTGCTAAAGGATCACTCCTGGCAGGTTTGGGGGACCATATGGGGTGTCAGGAATTGGACCTGGGTCAGCTGCATGCAAGGCAAGTCCCTTACCCTTTAACTATCTCTCCTGCCTTGTATTTTTTTAATGATTTTAATGACTGAAAAGGAAAAAGGAAGATGAAAAAATATGAGACTAAAACAGGAAACTATTATTGTGGTCAAAATACTTCCTGACATGTTAAATCAGTTTATGAATTTACTCTGGTTATATAATTACATTCTAAATTTTTTCTCCTCTATAGGTTAACTATAGTGAGTATTTCATTTGAATGATGCTACATTTAACATACAACCAATCAATATCTGAAAAAGCAAACAGCTTAGTTTGTAACAGAAACATTATTTCTCTATAATCTTGATTACAAAAGATCCAATTTTTCAAAAATAGATCACTAGATCATACTGCTGATTTCAAAAGTCATAGCATAGGGACTGGAGTTAAGTGTATAATAAATAGGGTGCTTGCCTTACACATAGCCGGCCCACATTCAATCCCCTGCACCCTATATGGTCCCTCAAATCATGCCAGGTGATCCCTGAGTGTAGAGCAAGGAGTAAGCTGTAGAACAGTGGTTGTAGTTACCAGCACCCGCAATGCACCCGCCCCCCCCAAACAAAACCAAAAACAACCAAAATACCACCCAAATCCCTGTGTTACTTTTCTATGAATTCTCTGATCCTCGTGTTTGAATTTATGACAATAACCCAAAATAAAATCTGTTATTTGAACAGAAAATTGTGTTGATATTTCTGTACTATGAAAACTATTTTCAATTTTAGATAAAAAGAAAAATAAAGATCCCAAATATAACAGTAAGATCAAGAGCAGAATAAGCACTGATCCATATCATAAATACCAAGTGATAAATTTCATATATGTCAAAATCCCTGAAAAAAAAAATCAAACACCACCCTGTAAACTGGTTACACACTGAATGAATTCTGCACTCATCATTATATAGAGAATGAAAGAGGAGGCCAGGAAAATGGCTCATAGGGCTGGAGGACATGCCTGGTATGTATGTAGCAGTGTAGCACTGTCCTCCCGTTGTTCATTGATTTGCTCGAGTGGGCACCAGTAACGTTTCCATTGTGAGACTTGTTGTTACTGTTTTTGGCATATCGAATATGCCATGGGGAGCTTGCCAGACTCTGCCGTGAGGGCGGGATACTCTCGGCAGCTTGCCGGGCTCTCCAAAAGGGACAGAGGAATTGAAGCTGGGTAGGCTGCGTGCAAGGCAATCGCCCTACCAGCTGTGCTATCACTCCAGCCCCTGTGCATATAGAAAACCAATTTTTTCTCTTTTTAAAAAAATTAATTCTTGAGCGATAGCACAGCGGGTAGGGTGTTCGCCTTACAAGCGGCCAACATGGCCGACCCGAGTTCGATTCCTCCACCCCTCTCGGAGAGCCCGGCAAGCTACCGAGAGTATTCGATATGCCAGACACAGTAACAACAAAGTCTCCAATGGAGACGTTACTGGGCCCGCTCGAGCAAATCGACGATCAACGGGAGGGCCTTTACCTTTACCTATTTTTACTATTTCCCTTATTTTTAATTTTTTTAATTGAATCACAGTGAGACAGTTATAAGGTTGTTCATGACTGGATTTCAGTTATATGTTCCAGCACCCACAGCAATTTCCATCCTTGGCACCCCATGGTCTTCCACACACTGCCAGGTGCAGGTAGTCTGGGGAACCCCACTCTGCTAGAAAACACGTACAGAACAAGAGTTACCATTAGGGAGAGCTTGAGGAGTGGAAATTCCCTGTTAGAACAAATACATCTGCTATTCAATGTATACACATTCACTTTCTTTACATGTTTTCAGATCTAAACATACATAATAAAGGACTGACTTTTCATGCTACCATGAATTCCTTTGGTGACAAAAAACAAAGGTGTGTGTGTGTGGGATCAGATCAACTGATTTTGTTATATTACTGACTGCATAAGGTCATCTCTGACTTAATCCCTAACCATATATGGTTCCCCAAGCGCTGCCAGAAGTCACTCCTGACATCGGGCCATGAACAGCCTCTGGGCACCAGAGTGTGGCCCAAAGCACACTCCCACAACAGAATAGTGAAGTAATGAGACTCACATTCAAGGAATATGTGACTGACTAGCTGATTTTTTCCGAGGTACCACATTTTTACTGGTCACCTCCATGGGCACAGGCTGGGCTCTGAATGACACAAAAATATGTACGGCAGGAGGCCTGATGCTCCAGACAGCCTGAAACCACACTCTGACATCACCAATTCCAAGAATCCCACACAATGTATACATTGAATAGCAGATGTATTTGTTCTAAAAGGCAATTTCCACTCCTCAAGCTCTCCCTAATGGTAACTCTTTGTGTGGAACTTTGATAAATATCAGTTATACAGCAGAAACATCAGACTGCCCCGGCCAGTGCCACGGCTGTGAACACAGGTCTCTCATCAGATCTACTGCAATGCCCTTTTTCTTTAATCTTTTATTTTTCTCTGAATATGTGACCATAAACAAACAAAAAACCCAAAACTACTGCAAGAAGTTCTGTGCCTCCTGCATGGACATGCAAGGAGATTCTTGCATTTTCAAGGCCAATTCAAGGCAGTTCCCACCCTTGGCTGAGATAACTCAGAGCTAGTCATGCTTTCCATTCCTCCAAAAGATCTTGGACTTATATCTTCACCTCCCCAGTGTAGTCACTTCACGTGACCCAAGACTGACAGATTTCTGCAAGGTTAATTTTCAGTAAGCCTGACTTCTACTCAATAAGACTCAATTGTGATCCTGCCTTTTTCATCCATTTCACGACTCTTTTTCCAATTTCCTTCTCGTCAAACTTTCTCTCAGTTCTGGCTCTTTCTTCTTTCTGCTGTGCTTCCTTCCTTCTCCTCAAAACTGCTCTTTTACTTCTCTTTCTGACCCTGTATAATAGATTCTTTCTCTTTTTGATGACTTTAGCCTGAAAGGAAAAACAGGGTTACCTGACTTCTTTAGAAAATAACTAAATCATGTCTTCTAGATTTAAGAATGACTGAGTCTGATTTATTCCCATATAAAATGGGTAACTGAAAGTAAATCTAATGCAGTTTGAAGGTTTTCATAACTATGGCAAGGAATGTACTATTCTAGTTCAGATGATTGTTATAGGCCATCCAAAACTAAGGAAGGTCAAATCAGATGTTCTCATAAGAAAAGTAAATATAATATTGGGGAGCTTGTTAGCCTTTAATGAGGAATTGAAATACCAACTGAATTCAAATACCAACATAATCTGAATTGGCTTTTCATTTAGGAATTAGAACACCTGTATACCTTATAGAGAGAAATGTAGAACTTTCTGCTTCAGTCTGTCTGGAGAAAAATATTTGAAGACACAGGCCTCCCAATCTAATTAATTCTTTTTTTAAAACAAGGGTAATCAAATATCTGCTAAATGCAATTCCAGAGAATTAAAATTTTCCTTAGTAAGCAATAGGATATGTAGCATTTGAATAGGAAACAACAGGATATTACACAGTATGTACACATATGCCAAATATGTTAAATATTATAATTTGCTCACCTTTCCATCAAAGCGTTTTATTATATATTGATCCAGGCCCAAGTCTGCAAAAGAGAAAATCCAAAACTTTACCCACTGATTACAACCTAAGAGAATTATATCATAGCTCTCATCTTCGGTTTTAATCAATTGTAATACATGGCTTAATCAAGACATAAGTGAAAGGTTACAGGAATTGGTGCCATTTTCAGACTCAAAGGTTACTGTTAAAAAACACGAACTGGGGCTGGAGCTATTATCAGCACAAGGGGAAAATATCGCTTCATTTTTTGAATGGGAGCAGAGCCAAAGTTTGGATCTGTCAGGCTATGTCTCTATCCTACTAAGTGCTATAAAAACATATAAACTGAGAAAAAGAGTGAGCTGAGACAAGAAATAGGCATAAAACATGTCCTTCATAAATGACACAGAAACAAAAAAGATAGACAACACATTGGATAAAGACTAAAGAGACAGCCGGTAAAGTCTGGACCATCTTTGGAAGTGAAGTTATTTTTGTTGTTTTTAGGCCACACCCAGTGATGTTCAGGGGTTACTTCTGACTCTGTACTCAGGAATCACTTCTTTTTTCTTTTTGGCTCACACCCAGCAATGCACAGAGATTACTCCTGGCTCTGCACTCAGGAATTACTCCTGGCAGTGCTCAGAGGACCATATGGGATGCCAGGGATCAAACCCGGGTCTGCCACGTGCAAGACAAATGGTCTGTTGGACTATTGCTCCGACACCAGGAATCTCTTCTGATGGTGCTTGGGGGACCATATGAAATGCCAGGGATGCCAAGGACAGAACCTGGGACTGCCACATGCAAGGAAGCACCTTATCTGCTGTACTAATCTCTCTGGTCCTTGAAGGTTAACTTAAACAAAACATCTGTTACAGCTGTAGAGGGGAAAAGTTGAACTATTAAAATGACTGTTTTTCAAAAATGTAATGCAAAATTATTATTTTCTAGTACTTTGAAAGACTCATAGAAATATTTTCAGATGACATATTTCAAATTAACTTTAAAAGAATAGTGAAGGTGAGAAAAGGAATTGAATACTATAGGGTCGGAAAGATAGAGTGGTAAGCTTGTCTTGCATGCAAGGTAAGTGCCTTACTCACTTTACTATCACTATGGTCCCTGAATAATTTCTTTACACATTCATCTGTTGAAGGACATTTAAGATGTTTTCACCTTTTAAATGTTGTGAATAACACTGCTATGAAACCACAAGTACCAGTCATTATTTAAATATGTTTTTATTTCTTTTGGGTTTATACTTATAACAAAATTGTTGGCTTATATGTAAATTCTGTTTAAACTCCTAAAAGAAGGCCAAATTATCTTGCTTGGGAGTTGGAAAGAAAGTACAGTGTGCTTGCCTTGCGCAAGGCTGACCCAGGTTACATCCCTAGCACCAGATATGATCCCATAAGCAGTGCCAGGAGTAATTCCTGAGTGCAGAGCCAGGAGTATCACTGTAGCATTGCTGGATGTGGCCCAAAACCAAAAACAACCAACCTTGGTAGTGGTTGCACCATTTTACATTCTTACCAGCAACTTAAGTGGGCTTCAATTTTCTCCGTATCTTCAATACTTGTTTGTTTAAAATATAGCCAATAAAGGTAGGTGTGAAGTGATGGGTTAAAATAGTTCCTCCTTTCATTTTTCACATTGTGCTTGGTCACGTGGGCGCAAGCAGCACATGGGCTCGGGCAGTCTATGTGCACCTTATTGCTGTTTTTAAAGAACTTCTGATTTTCTTAAAACTCCTTTATTGGGGCTGGAGCGATAGCACAGCGGGTAGGGCATTTGCCTTGCACAAGGCCAACCCGGGTTCGATTCCCAGCATCCCATAGGGTTCCCTGAGCACTGCCAGGAGTCATTCCTGAGCACATGAGTCAGAAGTAACCTCTGCGCATCGCCGGGTGTGACCCCAAAAGCAAAACAAAACAAAAACAAAACTCTTTTTTATCTATTTCTCCCATCATGTCTTCCACATACATGTGAAATATTCATTCATTTTCTTTCCTCACACCTTGTTTAGTTTCTTCTACATGACACATTCTTTCCACTATTCATAGTTAGCTTAACTTTTCTTTAAATTTTCTAAAAAGTATTCCCCAAATTTCCAGATTGAGTGAAGTGTCTCTTCTTTATACTGCTACTGCATTTTCTGCTCATTACCAAGTCACTACCTTCTTGAAGTTACCTATTACTCAGTATTGCTATAAAGTAACTTGATGGTAAAGAATCTCAGTCAGAGGGGTACAAACTCCTCTACCCTTTACCCTGGCTAGGAATTATCATGGAAGCTGGAGATGTAGGATAGCAAAAAGGGTGCCTGCCTTGCACAACTATGACCTGGGTCCAATCTCTGACACCCCATATAGTCCCCTAAGCCCTTCAGAAGTTATCCCTGAACTAAGAGCCAAGAGTAACCCCTGAGCCCCACTGGCGTGGCCCCAAAATCAAAACCAAATAAAGATTACATTAGATTGTAGTCTGTCTCTTCTTTTTTTTTTTTTATTAAGATGCTAATGCCTGACATGCAGTAGTTTAGCCATATAGGATTATAATTACTATATGAATCTATAGAGTTTAGGCAATGCACAGAAAGAGATTAGGATATAACAAAATGAGTATCACAATTTTATTTTTAACCTTAGGAACTTACGCTCTGGTTGTTTTTCATTGGGTGTTATGGATCTTACAAAATCTTCTGGAGTCATAAACACCTCAGATTCACCAGGCTCACTGATTACTTTCAAGGTGGCAAAATATCGAAAGATTTTGTCTGGTGTAGAATATGCTCGAATCCTATTCTCATACTCCATCACCTGAAATTAGAAATATTACTAAAACTAATATTAATGAAAACTCCATAGAATATTACTATATAAAGCAATTCTCAATTCTACATATTTGTTATTTTTGTGCTTAGGACTTTCTATTGTATCAACTTTTTCTGTAAATGGTTTTTAAAAAAATATTAGAAATAAACTTGAATTTCAGAAACTGCTTAACCTCTCTTTCAATTCCCCATATTCTACTTGAGGCAATACTCATGCAAACTTTGATTTGAAATATTTTGAAGAATCTTCTAATTTATTAAATAACCAAATGCTAGAAAAACTGGAAAACATTGTCAGAGAGTTGTAACAATCTTAAGTAATAGGGTAGGATGCCATGTTATGATTCTTAAATAACAAGTTTTGAAAAGGGACTGATTTAATACGTTTTAATTCTGTACAATGTCATTAATCATCAATCAAAAAAGACTGTGTAGGTTTAAACTGTAAATTTTTTTTAAAACAAAAAGCATGTTAAATGATTAAAAAAATAGATCATGAAACACAGCGGTAGGGCATTTGCCTTGCACGCAGCCAACATGGCTGACCTGAGTTCGATTCCTCCGCCCCTCTCGGAGAGCCCGGCAAGCTACCGAGAGTATCTCGCCCGCACGGCAGAGCCTGGCAAGCTCCCCGTGATGTATTCGATATGCCTAACACAGTAACAACAAAAATCTCCAATGGAGATGTTACTGGGCCCGCTTGAGCATTTATTTTTGTCATATAGCGGTAGGGCGTTCACCTTACAAGCGGCCAACATGGCCAACCCGAGTTCGATTCTTCCGCCCCTCTCGGAGAGCCCGGCAAGCTACCAAGAGTATTCGATATGCCAGACACAGTAACAACAAAGTCTCCAATGGAGACGTTACTGGGCCCGCTCGAGCAAATCGACGATATAAAATATTTTTATGGATTCAAATAACTTCTGTATTCAAGGAAGTCATTTTTTTCTTTTTTAAAAAGCCCATTATTATTTTTTAAATTGCGATCTCATAGCTTACAATATTTTTGAGGTCACTGCAGAGTTTTTACCTAGCCAATCTCAGCATCATTATCCCACTGTCCCTTCCTCTCCCCAGCCCTACCCTTATCAGTTTCCAGTTTTATTGATCATGAGTTTGATTGTACTAGGTATCATCTTTCGAAACTCAATTTTTTTGGAAACTCAATTATTAACAGTTCTGAAACAGTAAGAATTTTTTTTTTTTAATTTTTTTTTAGGTTTTTGGGTCACACCTGGCAATACTAAGGGGTTAGTCCTGGCTTGGTGCTAAGGAATTACTCCTGGTGAGCTAGAGGAACCACATGGGGTGCCGGGGAATCAAACCTGGGTAGGCTACGTGCAAGGCAAATGCCCTACCCGTTGCTTTGGTCTCTGAAACAGTAAGAATTTTGGCAGTAAAGGTAAAGGTAAAGACCCTCCCGTTGATCGTCGATTTGCTCGAGCGGGCCCAGTAACGTCTCCATTGGAGACTTTGTTGTTACTGTGTCTGGCATATCGAATACTCTCGGTAGCTTGCCGGGCTCTCCGAGAGGGGCGGAGGAATCGAACTCGGGTCGGCCATGTTGGCCGCTCGTAAGGCGAACGCCCTACCGCTGTGCTATCGCTCCAGCCCAGCTCCAGTTAAACAAAAACCTAAAATACCCCAATGTTATTTGGTTTTAGTGTGTATGCTAGGGGGTGATAGTGGTGATATTTTTATCTTTGCAAAGATTCATTTTTTCTTTAATAATAAGGTAATACTATTTAATAATACTATTTAATTTAGTAATACTATTTAATAATAAGGTAATACTATTAAGTAGTATCACACAGACTCAACATACATAGTATTCAGCATTAGAAAGATCTGAAAAGAATCATCCTAGGCAACTGAACTGAAAAAATGAAGACTATGCTAATTCTGTTTACCAAGCCTAGATGCTTTTCACTACACCCCCCCACCAACTAACTCCAAATTACAAAAATACATCCGCCTTACAACATGATAGAGAAAAAGAAATAGGTGAGTAAATTTAGAGTGAATAGGAATGACCTCAAATGCATGATAGAAACCAACTCGACTGCATTATTGTACAGTTAATTACAGAATTAACTGTAATTCTGACCAACTCAGAACACTGTGCTATAATGAGTGCTCCATACTTTTCTGTCTCTGAATCCAGAACGTTTCTTTTTTTTCTCTTCTGGATGAGGCTCACCCAAAGCACCTCCAGTCCCTTTTTCCTGGGTAGAGACTTCCCCTTCATCTTTATTCTTTCCTTTATCACCAAGTTCAGTCTTTATGTTGTTCACAGATGATGGGGATTCTGCATAGGCCCTGAATAGGGGGGGGAAAACCTGCATTATTCAAAAGGTCCATTGTATTCGTCAAGCAAAGATTTTCAATACAGCCTTACAGGAGCATAGCAATGAAATTTGGAAAAGTTCTATATAAAGAAATTTCCCCCCCAAAATTGTTTTAATCCACTTTTGGGTACATATACAAGAGAACAGAATTCACTGTCACAAAAATTATTACACACCTATATTAACAGCCATTGCTCACAATAGCTAAAACATGGGAAATGTCCAAGGCCAGGTAAACAGACAAAGAAAATGTGGTATATACATGTAATAGAATAATATTAAGCCTTAAAATGACAAATGCAGAAGCAGCAAAAGCAAAAATAGACAAGCTGGATTACATCAAACTATGAGAAAGATAATCAACAGAATGGGAGATTATCATATCACCACAGAGTGTTAATATAGTTAAAAAAAAAGAATTCCATGGGGCTGGCATGAGAGTACACAGTGTAGAGCATGTGCTTTGCATGCAGCCAACCTGGGTTCAATCCTTGGCATCCCATATGGTCCCCCCAAGCACTACCAAGAATAATTACTGAGTGCAAAGCCAGGAGTAAAACCTGAGCACCACTGGATGTGACCCCCAAACCAAAAACAAAAAAACCCCCCAAAAATTCTGAAAATAACAACAAAAAACTCCTAAATAACTTGATTAAAAAAATGTGCAAAGGCATTGGATAGACATTTCCTCAATAAAGGTATGCAAAAGGCCAACAAACAGACAAAATTGCCCAACACCAATAATTATTTAGAAAACGCAAATCAAAAATTTTACTAAGATATTCCATACAGGGCTGGCAAAATAGTACAAGGATTAAGGTGCTTGCCTTGCATGCAGTTGACCTTGTTTGATCCTCAATATTGCAAATGGTTACTTACCAACACAATCCAGAGTGATCCCTGAGCTAGGAGAAAAGTCTTAAGCACCAGCAGGTGTGGCCCCCAAACGAACTAAACTACATATATATACATATATATATATTCCCCCATATACCAATTAGGATAGTTTTTCTTTTAAAAAGAAAGGAAAAAGATAAAAGGTATAGATGATGGTGTGGATCAGAAACTCCAACACTGTAGATGAGAATTTAAGTTGGTACAGCACTGCGGAAAACAGAACGATGCACTCTTAAAAAACTACAAATGGGATTATCATCTGACTCAGCAATCCTATTTCTAGGTCTATATCCAAAGGAATAAAAGTTAAGATACCAAAATCTATCTACACTCCCATGTTCACAGCAGAATTGCTCACAATGGTCCAGATGTGGAAACAGTCTAAATGTTTATAAGTGGATAATGAAGAAATAGGATACACACACAAATATTAGTAATTAAAATAAAAGAAAATCCTATGAATGACAACATGGCTGAATTTACAGGACAAGATGCTAAATAAAATAAAAAAAGAAGCCAGACACAGAAAGACACATATTATATCATACTGCTGATGTGCTGAACATAAAACAGCAAAACTTATAGAAGGAAGAGTGGAATGGTGGTTTCCAGGGTAACAGGGTAAGAGGAAGGTAGAGAACAGGGAGATATTAGTCAGAGGGAAAGCTGATTTATAGAAGATAAATGAATCCTGAAGATTTATGGTATAGCACAGTATCTGCAATTTATAATAGTGTATTATATGCTTTGTGAGACTTGTTGTTACTGTTTTTGGCATATCAAATACGCCACAGGTAGGTAGCTTGCCAGTCTCTGCCGTGTGGGCGGGATACTCTCGGAAGCTTGCTGGGCTGAGAGGGATGGAGGAATCGAACCTGGGTCAGCCATGTGCAAGACAAACGTCCTACCTGCTGTGCTATGGTATCACTGTATCACTGTCATCCTGTTGATTGTCGAATTACTCAAGCAGGCGTCAGTAAAATCTCTATTCCTCCCAGCTCTAAGATTTCATTTTATTTATTTATTTATTTAATTTTTATTAGTGAGACACCACGAGGTATAGTTGTAGACTTACAAATTTTTGTGCTTGGGTTTCAATTATACAATGATCAAATACCCATCCCTCCATCAGTGCCCATTTCTCACCACCACGAATCTCAGTATCCCTCCCACCCTCCATCCACCCCATCCCACCCTCCCTCTGTGGCAGGGCATTCCCTTTTGTTCTCTCTTTCCTTTTGGGTGTTATGGTTTGCAAAAGAGGCACTGAGTGGCAATCATGTTTGGTCTATAATCTACTTTCAGCATACTTCTCCCATCCTGGGAGGATCCTCCCAAAACCCTTTATTTGGTGCTCCCTTCTCTATCTGAGCTCCCTTTTCCCCTAGCATGTGTGGTTAGCCTCCAAGCCATGAAGCAAAATTCCTGGTACTAATCTCGGCCATTCTTGGGTATTAATCTCATATTTTGTTACTTTATATCCCCCAGATGAATGCAATCTTTCTATGTCTATCCCTCTCTTTCTGACTCATTTCGCTTAACATGATACTTTTCCATGTTGTACCATTTGTATGTAAATTTCATGACTTCATCTTTTCTAACAGCTACATAGTACTCCATTGTGTAAATGTCTAGCCCTGAGATTTTAGCGGCCTCTTCTTACTCGTCTTTTTCCAATGATTAGAGGCTCTTTCAGGGTCAGGGGAATGAGACCTGTTGTCGTTACTGGATTTGGAGTATCAAATACGCCATGGGGAGCTTGCCAGACTCTGCCCATGCAGGCAGGATACTTGTCGATAGCTTGCCAGGCTCTCCGAGTGGCATATATTTATATATGTCTGAACCCCAACAGATATGGTGTAGTAATTGTGGAAAATGGGTAGGAGGGGTCTTATAATGGTGTCTGGAAAACGGCCTGGAGTGGGGCAGTGGTTGGGTAGTGGAGGTCGGCTGCCAGGACTGGGTCCCTTGGGTTGGGGAAGGCTCTTGCCTGCCCCACAGCCTGGTGCGGAGTCTGGTGGCATGGTTCTGGGGACCTCTTTTTATACCACCGTCTGGGAGGAGCATCCATGAGTTCTGGAGGGTGATTGATGAAGTGCATAACAAACATAATGCACCCTCTTGTTCCCTCCCCACACAGAAAAAAAACATGCTGAACTGGGTAAAAAGTGAGACTTCACTTTATCCTATCAGCCCTTCCCTCAACAGACACAGCTTGGTGCCAGGGAAGATCCCCTGGCTGAGGATTGCCCCCTCGAGGTGTGAGGACTAGAATAGAGCAGGCAGTCATCGCTCTGTGACAGCTGCCTGAGGGTTTCCTTTTTCCTTGCATGGATCACTGATGACAGCTGCCTGGTCTGTGTTCCTGGGCCCCCTGCACTCCGCTGGGCTTGGTGTGCTGCAGCTGGTACAGCATGCAGACATCAGGAAAAGACACACAACCTAAGACTTTTCCTTCAGGCATGAAGGGGGAAAGTGGACTGTGCATCTGGGATCCTAGCTTTTCAGAGTGCTGCCCAAGGGACTGCTCTCATTCTCCCCAGACTGGGAGAACATATTGGAAGCTAATGCACTTTAGCTACCTCGAGGCTGAGGAGAAATGAGCAGTGACACAGAGAGACACCAAGAAGAGCAGGAGATTATAATTTATTTTAAAAGTAACTTGTAAGAGCTTTTCCAACTGGCAAATAGCTCACAAGTGCTTGCTTTCCCCCTCCACTGCAAAGAATTTTCTTCCTTCTCCCCAAAGGTTTCAGAAACAAATAGAATCTATATTGGAACCGACCAACATGTATAACTGCAGCCCATGCAGAAAGGGATAGGGGTTTCATTCTTACAAGTATATAGATATCAGCATCAAGTTGCAAGATACATGAAAAAAGAAAATGTGCCAAAAGGATAAAATAAATTTCAAAAAAAAAGGGGGAACCTGAAAAGATATTATAGTGGGTTGGCACTTTCCTGGAACATGGCTGGTCTGGATTCAATCCCTGGAACCCCATATGGTCCCCTGACAGGGACACACCCCTGTCAGAGTGATCCCTAAGTGCAGAGCCGGGAATAAACCCTGACCACTGTCAGGTGTGGCCCCCAAACCAAAACCACAACAATAACGAAACCCTCAAAAAATGGATTCTAGCAAACCACAACACCCAATAAGAGGGAACAAAAGGAAATGCCCTGCCACAGAGGCAGGGTGGGTGGGGGGCATGGGGGGGTGGGAGGGATACTGGGATTCGTGGTGGTGGGAAATGGGCACTGGTGGAGGGATGGGTATTTGATCACTGTATACTTGAAACCCAAGCACAAAAATTTATAAGTCTACAACTGTACCTCATGGTGTCTCATTAATAAAAATTATTTAAAAAAATGGACTCTAAAGAAAGAGAGGAGCACGAGTTTTCTGGAAATAAATTTAAAATAGCCACCATAAAGATACTCTAATAAGCTGAAGAATCTCATGCATGTATAGTTAATATCAAGATTGGGGCATAAGAGATAGTACAATGGGGAGGGTGACTGCCTTGCACATCGCGGTTGAATTTCTGATGTCTCATACGGTCCCCTGAGCCTCCAAGAGTGATTCCTGAGTGCAGAGCCAGGAGTAACCCCTGAGCAAAGCCAGGTGTGGCCCCCAAACCTATATATATATATATATAGATCTATCTAGAGAGAGAGAGAGAAAGAGAGAGAGAAAGAGAAAGAGAAAGAGAAAGAGAGAGAAACATAAAAAAGAACCAAACAGAAATTCTGGAGTTGAAAAACAAGCACACAAATGAAGACTTCACTAAAGAAGTTCAAGAACATACTTGATCAAAAGAAGAACGAGCAAACTCCAAAAAAGATTATTTAATACTACCAGAAGATTAAAATGCAAAACTGAAATGGATTTTACATTGCTTTTTCTTATTACAAAGTGATTAGAGCCAAGGGACTAAGAGACACTAATAAAAGAATCAATACACACCGAGTGTTCCAAAGGAAAAAAAGAGACGGTGAAAGGGGCCCAAAATTTATTTAAAGAGACTGTAGTCCCAAACTATCCAAGTCTGGAAGGATAAAAACACTCAGATGGATAGAAATACTTCAGAAGTCCAACTGACATCAACCAGGACCCTAAAGAAGTCCATACTCAGACACATTACAATCAAATTGTCAAAATCAAAGGCAAAGAATCTTAAATTCAGCAAAACTAAAGTAAGTTATCACAGACAGGTAAACTCCTAAGACATTAGATTTGTTAGCAGAAATCTTTGCAGTTCATAAGGGCAAAACACTGTCAGACTGATACATCGTGTGTATTAAAAGAGAAACGAGACCCAAGGATCTGGTAATTTGATTAAACTATCCTTTAGAACAGCATTCCTCAACTCTTTTCCATAGTATCATCTGTAATATATCCTTCTTGGCAGTATGTGTGTATGTGTGAGTGGGGGGTAGGGGCAGAGGGAGGGTGGGAGCTCCCAAGTGGAGCTCAGAAGCTCCAGGGGCACCATCAGTGATTCTTGGTCAAGCAGCAGTGGGATCAATGGAAAGGCCTGAGGATGCAATACTGCTTGAGCCCTGTGGTGTCAAGAGCTTCCAGGACCACATCCAGGCATTATTTAGGCACCTCCTAGGCTGCAACCTATGATGCTTGAGGAACCATGTGGTACTAGGAATTGAACCAAACAGGTGCACCTCGGCATGCATACTAACTGCTTTACTATTTCAGCCTCTGCAATAATTCCTCTTTTATTCCTAATTTTATTTATATGAGTCTTGACACTTTTTCTTTTCTTTCTTTTTCTCCTTTTTGGGCCACACTCAGTGGTGCTCAGGGGTTACTCTTGGCTCTGCACTCAGGAATTACTCCCGGTGGTGCATGGGGGACCATATAGGATGCCAGGGATCAAACCCAGATAGGCTGCATGCAAAGCAAGCACCCTACCCACTGTACCATTGCTCCAGCCCTATCTTCACTTTTTCTTAATCCAGCTAATATTTTATCAATTTCAATAATAATAATAATAATTAATAACCACCTAGCTAAGTTTCCTTGATCTTTACAATTGTCTAAGTGAAATATGCCAGACACAATATCACAAATACCATATAATTTCACTTGTATAGGTATCAAAATAGCAAGTTCAGAGAGACAGAATAACTAGGGAATTCAGACAGTAAGGAGCAGGGTGTACTTGTTTAACAGTCACAGAATTTCATTTGCAATGAAGAACATTTCTGGAGGTAGATGGTGGTGATGACTGCACAATATGTGATTTAAGACTGCTGAACTTAAAAATGGATTAAAGGGCAATTAATGCAATACATATTTTACCACAATAAAAATACTTAAATATAACAGATATTAAACTAAAAAAGCAAAAGGCTGAAAATGGAATGGCTTAGTTGTCTGGTGTCAAAATATTGAATGTAATCAAAGTAGAGAGAGAGAGTAATGTGGAAATCATTTGCTCCACAGGTAGGGGGAGGGTGTGGAATGGGGGTATACTGCGGTTTTTGGTGGTGGAGAATGGGCACTGGTGAAGGTACGGGTGTTTCATTGTATGACCGAGACTTAAACCTGAAAGCTTTGTAACTGCTCTCATGGTGATTCAATAAATAAAATTATAAAAAATGAAAAAAAAAAAAGTAAGGCCAGCCTAATCAGTGGGTGAATAAATAGCAGTACTCCTACATAAAAAAAAAAGAAAGTCAACCTAGAATTTTATACCCAGTAAAACTATCCTTCAATATTCCAAGCGAAGTATTTTCAGACACAAAACTGTTAAGTTCCATCACTAGCAAACAAGCACTCCTTTGAAGAAAGTATATAGTCAGGGTTTGAACCAGGTATTCATTTACAGTTCCTCAATCCTTAATACTTTGACTTAGTATATTCTTAGAGATTGAGAAAGGAAAAACAGAATAAAAATGTGACACTATTTTCTAACAGAATTCTAAAATGGCTTCTAGGAATTATATTTAAGAAAACTCACATAGCATGCTTGAGCTTTACATACGAATAATTATGTAACCCAGAACACATTTACTTTTGTTTGGCAACAAACACTCCAAATGGCATACTATGTTATTCACTGATGTATTAAACATTTGCTAGTGATCTTAAAGATCATAAACATTTCAACACAGGTTGACTTTTGTTTATAAACTTGAGAATAATTTAAGGTTTTTTTATTTATTAACTTTTTATATAGCACAGCAGAGATAAATGTAACAATCTTACATTCTGGTACTTACGATTTCTTTTTTAAAAATTAAGTTTTATTAAAGCATCATGATTTACAAAGTTATTCATAGTTGGGTTTTAGACATATTGTGTCCCAGCACCAATTCCATCACCAGTGTCTTCTATTCCCTGCAACAAGTTTTCCAAGTTTGCATCCAACCATCTCCAGCTGGCCATCTCAAGGGGTACATTTTTAAGTTTGGTTGAAGTTTGGATCTCCTGTTTTCAGTGATATTGCCTTAATTCTTCTTAAAAGTTTAGTTCTTTGAAACATCTTATTCCTTAAACCAAATATGATTAATGATTTGCGCAGGAAGTTTTGATACAAAGTTAATAATTGAATTATTCAGATAATAGAGTCCACCATAAAAATAAAAGTAGATGCCAGAAAAAAGATGCTCAAATGACACTCACCTCTTCCACAAGAGACCTGTACTTGCAGTTACTGCAGAAGCTCCCAGTAAAGCCACCATCATTAGTCGCCGCCTATTCTGGGGGGGCTGTGAGACTCCATGGTACCACCGAGCGGCCACGGCCAGTTCTGCTAATGCAGTAGCAGAATTAAGACGAAACATTCTGTGGACAAAAAAGTAGAAATGGTACTTTGACTTGGTAGAGGCAGCACTGATGGTAGTAGTAGTGGTGATGATGAAAGTACCCATCTCACCAATATACACCAAGTAAGTCCTTGTTCAATGGCAGGCATTACTCTAAGCACATTGCATATATTTATTCTGTTTAATCCTCAAAGAAACTAATATTGGTATGAGAAGTCCTTGAATGATCTAATGAAGTACTTAAATGGTATGAGAAGTCCTTGAATGATCTAATGAAGTACTTAAGAATCAATCTATTAACCAAGATACAATTAAGACAAGAAAACCACATAGTAAGTAACAGGGGAAGCTGAATATAAGGCCTTATTAATTACAACAAGAGACTAAATACTAAGCAGAAAGAGATGTAGGAAGCATCCATCACTTCTAGGGCTCCTGTAGAACATCAAGAAAGGAACAAATCCATAAGAGGGCCTTGGTTGACATCCAGACCTCGAAAAGAGGAACAAACCTTGATGTCTGAGAAATTTAGTAAGTATCGTGTCCACAGAACTCACTGGAAAGTCATTTGAAAGAACTCAGGCCAGCAAAGCCAGTTGTGAAAGTGTCTGTGGGGACATCATACAAAACTAAATTCACTGGGGATTAGCATGTGGGAGCACTACTACTAAGACTCCCCTAGAGTTGAGTATCACACACTACCAGTTACCACAAACCACAGAAGCAAGCCACAAAAGGCACAGAAAAACAAAAACCAGGACCATCACTTCCTTCTCTAATCCTCATCTAGCCTTTCTACTAACAAACATAAACAAAAGCCAAGAAGGAAGAAATTCCCACTCTCATAAATAGAATAAAATAGAATGAAAGGTAGATTTAGAGCTGACAAGTAATAGATGGGAACTGGAACTTTACAGATAAGAAAACTGATATAAAAAAGTATAGTAGAAATGACATCTGCACTTATATGTTCATTGCAGCACTGCTTACAATAGCCAGAATCTGGAAAAAACCTGAGTGCCCGAGAACAGATGATTGGTTAAAGAAACTTTGGTACTGGGCCCGCTCGAGCAAATCGACGATCAACGGGAGGGCCTTTACCTTGGTACATCTACACAATGAAATACTATGCAGCTGTTAGAAAAGGTGAAGTCATGAAATTTACACATAGGTGGATAAACATGGAAAGTATCATGTTAAGTGAAATGAGTCAGAAAGAGAGGGACAGACATAGAAAGATTGCACTCATTTGTGGAATATAAAGTAACAGAATGGGAGACTAACACCCACGAACAGTAGAGATAAGTACCAGGAGGATCACTCCACAGCTTAGAAGCCAGCCTCGCATGCTGAGGGAAAAGGCAGCTCAGATAGAGAAGGGACCACCAAGTAAAGGGTGGTAAGAGGGCCCACTCGGGATGGGAGATGCGGGCTGAAAGTAGACTAAAGACCGAACATGATGGCTACTTAATACCTCTACTGCAAACCACAATACCCAAAAGGAGAGAGAAAGAGCAAAAGGGAATGCCCTGACACAGAGGTGGGGTGGGGTGGCGGGGATGAGGTGGAGGTAGTGGGAGGGATTCTGGGATGGGTATTCGACCATTGTATGACTGAAACGCAAGCATCGAAGTTTGTAAGTCTGTAACTGTACCTCACTGTGATTCACTAATAAAAAATTAAAAAAAAAACTGATATAAAGTGACTTGCTCAGGAGTAAGCAGTTTGAGGAGTGAATCCAAAAACCAAGTAGAGGGTCTAATGATTCCACAGGCCAAGTTTTTTGTTGTTGTCACTGTTTTTAGACAAGGCACTTCAGTGCCCCTGACCTTATTATAATTTTGTTAAAGTAATTTAAATGGTAACAAAATCATACTTCTTCCAAGGCATTTCAAAGTTCTCTTCCCCATCAGGTTCCCTGGTTTAAGACTTATCATTTTGGGGACCAGAGAGATAGTACAGTGCGTAAGACACTTGCCTTGCAAGTGTGGCCCAAACTACCTCTCCTCCAGAGACATAATTTTACCTTTTCCTTAATATTTTGTTTTATATAAAAAATACAAGATATTAACTTAAGATGTTTAATAAATGGATCTCCCATCATAGATGAAATACTACTTCTCACTCTTCATTTTCACAAAATACATCCTGTCATATGCCTTGCTTTGATGAACTTTTAAGGGCTGGGGATGAAGGCAGCTCAATGGTACACACTTTCCAAGTGTGAAACCTTGGGTTTGATCCCTGGAACACAGACATAAAAAAGGTAACGCTTTTGGCCTTTAGTGTTCCAGCCCTCTACCAAGAAAAGATTAAGCCCCAGGTAAACAGTGATCCTTCAAAGGTGAACTCCATAATCAATAAGTCTTAGCGTGGATAGAGTCAGACACTGATAAGTCCTGTTGAACCTGCTGAATATAACTTACCTGCAGAATGTGAGAAATAGGTGCTTATTATTCTAAGAGATTACAATTTTGGGGTTGTTTATTTCCTCAACCAAAGTAGACAAATTCAGCATCTCAAGAATTACTGATACGTTATCATTCAACAAGAATTTATTAGGGTCAGACTTCCCAGCCCTATATTGAGATCTATAAAGTCAAAATAAACTTTACACTTGAATTAGGCAAGATATTCATAAAACATTTGAAAACAATGTGTTTTTCTTTAAAGACTATTATCTAAAAACTAAAGCACAGTTAGTATAGTTGCTCATTCTTCTATATTTTAGACTCAGGAGTCTGGGGGCCACTCCAGTGATCCCTGGTCAACTGGGCATAAGGTTCAATGCTAGGATGCAGACATGCACAGTGCTGCTGGGGGCCACCTGGGCGACAAGCAGCAGTGCTAAGGTTGGGGGCTCTCAGATAGTATCTGGCAGTGTTAAGGGGGCCGTGCAATAGTGGGATTTGAACTCAAGTCATTTTGCAATCTGTGAGTTTTCTCTCTCTAGTCCCAGAATGGTTTTTTGTTACTGTTGTTTTTGTTTTTTAAATTCCACTAGCCAACTGAAGGATAAAGTGGTCTTTCTTCCTTTCAGGACTTTTCTGTACTGGTAATTCAATCAAATCACACAAATTGCCATGCTTCCTCCCTTCACTTTCTCAAAATATAGTTCACTACTTCCTAATTTAAATTCTCTTTCATTTTTATGCATCTTCCCATGGCAATTAACATATCTGTTCATACATAAGTATGTCTCTCCACTTGGATGTGCTTCAAGGCCAAAGTAATTTTTCTTCCTTATAAACAGAGTCTAGCACAGGTTCTGTTATAGTGCAGGTGCTTAAAATAGGAACTTTTATTTTCACTAAAAAAAAAGGGTAAAATTCTATAGATACTGGCTTCTAACATTCATATATATTTCTTAGCCCCAAATATACTAACAAAATAATTTTACTGTTTGGTTAAAGTCAAGTTAGCCTACTTAGTTATTTCCAAGTATCACAGCGGATACAGATGCCAGATAAGACCTATAGAGTCTTATGTAAACCTCTCTCCTAGACTCCTTCATTCCTAACAGAGGCTCAATTTCAAACTTGGTGATAATTCTAAGCATACTGACAAGGGATTAAAAAATAATTTTTCTGTGTACTAAGCTAACAACATTGAATCAATTCCAAAAAATATATATGAACAAAGAGGTCAGTTAAAAAGGTGACCTCGGTTTGATCCCTGAGCACCACCAGGAGCAACCCTGAGCACAGAGCCAGGAGTACTACCTGAGCACTAGTGGGTGTGGCTCCCAAAGCATAAATAAATGAACAACAATGTAGTATAGCAAAAAACAACCACCTAGAGATTTACAGCATTCAGCCGAAGAGAAGAACAACATGGAGGGCGGGATCCACAGATCCCGAAGGGAAAAAAAAAAAAACAGGTTCCAAAAAGCCGAGATCATTGGGAAGCCCCAGATGGGGTAGGTACCGCATCCCGCCTCCCCCAGATGGAACCCCGGTGACCAGAAGCCTCTACAACCACAGCTCGAGTATGTGGGAACTAGGACTTTTCCTCAAAACCGCGCGGCCGCTCATGCGGCCGCGTGACATCTCTCTATATACAAAGTGATCCATGGGAAGTAAACCACCCAATGTTTCTCTCTGAAAATCATAGTTAAGTTTGGAGCACGGCCACAGCCCCAGAAACACAAGGACTTAATGCATAACCCAGCAGCTTGGAGCAGAAAAGTGAACGGGCTATGCGTTAATCCAGGCCATCAAGTCTGCTGGAGGGGAAAGGGTGTTGCCCCAGTCACCTTCTCCTCTCTGGAAAGAAAGATGGCGGCCGCATGGGAGCCTTGTGGACAGCAGGTATGAGCCGGGGGTGTGGGGCCAACTAAAACCTCATGGGAAGGGGGGCGTCCCGATCCGTCCTTCACGCCCTACCGAGGTCACCAGTTGCCCCCCGCGAGCGGCTCTCCAGTACGGCCACGGCCCCAGAAGCACAAGGACTTAATGCAGAACCCGGAAGCTTGGAGCAGAAAAGTGACCGGACCATGCGTTAATCCAGGCCATCAAGTCTGCCGGAGGAGAAAGGGTGTTGCCCCATTCGCCCTCTCTTCTCTGGAAAGAAGGATGGCGGCTGCATGGGAGCCTTGTGGACAGCAGGTATGAGCCGGGGAAGTGGGGGCGACTAAAACCTCATGGGAACGGGGGCGTTCTGGTCTGTCCTTCACGCCCTACCGAGGTCACCAATTGCCCTCCGTGAGCGGCTCTCCAGCACGGCCATGGCCCCAGAAGCACAAGGACTTAATGCAGAACCCAGCAGCTTGGAGCAGAAAAGTGAACGGACTATGTGTTAATCCAGGCCATCAGGTCTGTCCGGAGGGGAAAGGGTGTTGCCCCAGTCGCCTTCTCCTCTCTGGAAAGAAAGATGGCGGCCGCATGGGAGCCTTGTGGACAGCAGGTATGAGCCGGGGGAGTGGGGGCGACTAAAACCTCATGGGAAGGGGGGCGTTTCGGTCCGTCCTTCACGCCCTACCGAGGTCACCAGTTGCCCCCCACAAGCGGCTCTCCAGCA